CATGTGTCCTTGAAGGAAATCTATCAAGATGACTCCTTGGGAAGCCAGCCAGTGTCTATAAACATCTGAGCTGACCTCTGCTTGGAATTTAACTAAAGCAATTGAGTCTCTTGGAAGCCCCTGTTTTGATTAGACCTTGCTCTCATTGATATGGACCTGAGGCATATTGGTAAATCCAAGACTTGTTCTGATTATCATTCATTCCATAAAATTCATTATCATTCATAGCATCAACCTTGCTTAAAAGACAGATCAGATCTTTAAGTTAGCTAATCTTTGCACAAGACTTTTGTTACCCATCAAGCCAAAAATGTATTGAGCCTAAGATATTTGCCTAAAATTGAAAATGCCAAATTTTGTTGAAACCCAACTCTAGTAGCTATTCCATTAATAATAGTTCTATGATCTTCATCTACCTGTTTCTAGATTTTAGCCACAGTTTCTTCACTCCACAAAGTTGACAGTCTTCCCTCTCTTGGCTTATCTTTGAGGTCTCCAATCTTGACCCGTCTAAAAACTATTGTTTTATATAGTGTGGAATTCTAGTAAACTTGTAATGTTTAATGATTCAGGAAGATTTCCACTTGTGTTCTGCTAAAAATTTAATATTAATCCTTGTGGTAGCAATTGTTCAATAATGCTGGAGGTGATTGAACTATAGAATGATATATGTATATTAGCTCCCAATAAAATGATTTCCAAAATTTTTTTAATATTAACCTTGACCTCAAAATCATTTTTCCTATGGCACAGAAAGTGTCCTTATTTTGAAGAAAATGTATTACTGTTAATACAAGTGCATTATCCACAACCATCTGGTGACCACAGAGATACAGTATATGTAAATGCATTGTAAGTAAACTCATGCATGATGTATCAACTGAAACTATAGCAGCACTATTTTCTTACTTTTATACAACTGAAAAACTGTTCATCATAGTAGTTAGTTTGATGTTTCTCAGGCTACTGAAATGTATTCTCTGAGAACAGAGGAAAATACCTTGTGTTTTAGGCGCAATAAATAAAGGAAGAAGGAGCCACTGTATCGTTCAGTTCAAAAGTGCATCTAAAATTTGCATTCACAACCCTTGATTATTTAAGACACATTTACGAGATGTGATGTGATCTTGTACACAATTACAAGATCTAAAGCATCATTGTTGTTATTTCTTGCAGATACTGACAGGAGATTTGGGGAAACAAAGACTATTATACATGGAATACGTAGAACTGGGGATATCAACTGATGAATTTGAGCTGTTTCCTAATGTCCCTAACTTCTGGAGGACCTTAGGTCTTCACAAGCCAAGCAGGACTACTTTCTCATCACTAAGCAATGCTAATTGCTAACTTTTATAAAGATTAAGTTTAGCAATGACTTTTTTTAAATCATTTTATTGGGAGTCCTTACAGATATTATAACAATCCATAATTCAATTAGATCAAGCATAATTGTAAAATTTCTCCCACCATCAGTTTTAATACATTTTCTTTCTTCTTGAACTTTTTTATAACAGCACCCCTTTATTCCCTCCCTCCCCCACCCCATACCCCAGGAACCCTTATTATATATCTATGTTATATATAATAAATATATACAAATATATATAATATGTGTGTATGTATTTGTGTGTGTATATATTTGGTTATATCTTACAACAGCCATGTAACCATTCAACTACAGTTCTGTTATTTGTTCCCCTCAAGTGGAGTTATCCATTCATCTTTGCTACCAGTTGCCCCTCCTCCCCCTTCCTGTCCTCAGGAAATCATTGATCCCATTACTATTTCTGATGAGTTTAGCTATCTTGGACTTCATGCATGGAATAATTTTCATTATACAAATGACTATTTGAAAGTCTAACCAGTTTAATGATGTAAAACTGGGACCATAATAGCAAGAGGAGGAAATAGAGGATACTACACTGGATCTTAGACAAAAAGCCAAGAAGCGGTAGAACTAGACCTCTTTTGGGGATCAAATGACCCTTTCACAGGGGTCGCCTAAGACCATTGGAAAACACATTATTTCCCATGGTCTTAGGAACCCAGACACTGCTCCTCTATCCATCTCCAGGCAGGTCCGCCCACATGCAGATATGCCCACATACAACTACCCACAAAATTTCATTTATTTGTAATTAGAAATAAATATTTCACAATATATAATTACCTGTTGTTTTTGTGATTCATCACTATGCTTTAATTATGTTCAATTTGTAATAATGAAAATACATCCTGCATATCATTACTTTTCTTAACAGTAGAAAAATTACAGCTATGACGTAGCAATGAAAATAATTTTATGGTTGGCTGTCCCTACACCATGAGGAACTGTATTGAAAGGTCACAGCATTAGGAAGGCTGAGAACTACTGAACTAGAGGATAGTTATTTTTCATCAGTGCTATACTTCACCCTGATATATCATTCCTTCTGTGTGGCCCTTCTGTTAGGGACTAATTATCTTACAGATGGGTTTGGGATCTCCACTTTGTCCATGCTCCTTTACTTCCATTTGATTGCTTGTTTTTCAACTTGTGATATTTAATTCCCGTTGACACCTCATGGTCACATAAGCTGGTGTGCTTCTTCCATGTGGGCGTGTTGCTTCTCTACTAGATGGCCACTTGTTTAACGTAAAACCTTTAAGACCCTATACACTATATCTTGTAATAGCCAGGCACCATCAACTTTCTTCACCACATTTGCTTATGCACCCATTTTGTCTTCAGTGATTGAGCCTGGAAGGTGAGTATCATTCATTGCCAAGTTAGTAGAACAAACTGTTCTTGTACTGAGGTAAGACTTAAGACGAGGTCCAAAGTCCATCTAACAATGACTATTATTGTCCCTGCAGCATCCTGAATGACGAATTAAAGCAGTGTTTGATTCCCTAAGCACAAATTCATTTTATAAAATCAATTCTGCATTTGCAATAAAGTATTTATTTTGTCCCATCCCTTTTCCCATTGCTGTGGGAAAAAAATGAAATCTTTGGAAGAGTATTTGGGTATGAGGAAGAACAGTTATATAAATAACCATTATATTGTGTGAGGAAATGCATTAGAAATTGCTACCAAAAATCTTGTTAGATTAGAAGCCACACATGAGGGAAATCTGTTTGATAGAGCCTTTTGGTGCAGTGCTCCCCGTGAGGGAGCACAGCCCAGTTACATTATGTAACATAGTTTCCATTTACAATCACTGTCTTCCCTAATACTGATATGAAACACTCAGAAGCTCCTCTGAAAATGCCCAAGTTGACTCATGTAGGCTTTAACTAAAAGTCCTTCCGTAATCATCATTATGGCTACATATTGATGGTCTCCCTCATCCAAATGTTTGTCTCTGCCCTGTTTTAAGACTTAACAAAGGGATATCCATAAAATAAAATAATTCTTCAAAGACCTTCCAGATTGTCATATTCTAAAGCGCAAATTCTTAATCAGTCTTTTCTTAATGTTACAAGACTTGGTTTTACTCTTCTACTTGCAAATAGACCTAAGCTTGTTTGTTTTTTTAAGTTGTAATTTAGGAAAGTTTAAAGCAAAATTAACTTTTTCTAATGTAAGATTTCCCAATTGAAGATATTCATCCCTCTCAGTACTCAGGAAAATGAAATTCTGCAACCCTGGTGGCATAGTGGGTTATGTGTTAAGGTCAACAGTTCAAAGCCACCAGCTGCTCCATAGAAGAAAAGTTATGTTTTCTGCTTTCATGAAGCTCTCCCTCTTGAGAGCCCAAGGAAGCAGTCCTACTTGTCTTGTGTGAGTCAGAATCAGTTCCATGGCAGGGAGTTTGTCTTTCAGTTGTTGTTCACTTCTTTGATTTATTATCATTATTTTTTTATTATCATTCTTTTATAGTTAAATGATCTACTAAAGATGTTGAGATTATTTAGCTGGAATCTAAATTTAAAAACCTTGATCATTAAAGATGTTGAGGAAAGCCATGTGTGAGTATCTTAGCTAGGTTGCTTCTCCTTAATTCTGTTTTCCAGTCTGAGGCAGATGGTGGCCCCAGGAATTGGGGAGGACTGGATGGTCTTGTGTATATGGGTAATGGCACTTGAGTAGTCTGTGATGGCTGATTATCTGTACACAGCTGATCCTGTGAGTGCAGAATGATGATGCGATACCATGAGGAAAGGGAAAACTAATTGCAAGAATAAGAATAGTAAGAGTAGCTTTCACTTAGTGTGTCTATATTTCTGACTTCCACACGCACATTGTAAAGCTTAATTCTCACAATTTTGTCAGACATGATGTATTATGCTTGTTTGAAAGATGAAGAAACAGGCTCATATTAATGATCTTCCCCACATCCATACAAATAACAGGAGCCTAGGGCAAGGATGTCAATGTGCAGTTCAAAGACCTTACTCTTGAGCTATTAGCCTCTACACTGCACGCAACATATCTGGTGAGGAATAAAGTATGTGCACATGTGTGCACATGTATGCATCTTGCACTTGCAAGATGAGGGGAGCATTTTGGCATTATCCCATACTTTGTGATTATGTGATCCTCATATCGATTACAGCCTTATATGTTACAGAGAGGAAATAACTGCCAAAAGTTAGGGCAAGTATTAGAATGCTGACCAGAGTCCAGCATAGATCAGTCTTGATATACACACAGGTAACGCATCATTTAAGCTCTTAATTATTGATTTGTCTCTACAATATAAAATTCTATTAACACACTAATGGATTTAAGCCAGACAAGCCCAAATCTAAAGAGCCAGCATTCTGAAGAGCAATTCAGCAGTAGCTTGCCATGTGTATTATAGCTTGTTTGAGATAAGTACATTTTTATAAATCTGCTTGCTTAGTCATGCCAGAGCAGTAATAGATGGATCTATTCCAAGAGCAAAAATCAAAATAAATTATCCGCAGGGAAATAATAAACAGTTAATTCTAAGAAAAAGCTTTTAAATTTACCTAAAAGTAAAATCTCAGACATACTGACATGTTTTTCCCCCCCTAAATTCATTTAGAACATATGCTATCAGAAGGATAAGAGATGCCTTCAGAGAAAATAAAAATGTAAAAGATCCTGTAGAAATTCAAACCTTGGTGAATAAGGCCCAAAGAGACCTGGAAATAATTCGTCGACAGGTAAGATAGCTCAGTGATTTACTCTCTGTTCATTAAGAGCTCTAAGTTTTGACATGTCCCCATTGATTGAATATTGCTGCTTTTGGTATATGTGATTTACAATACAGAATCTTAGCACTCCATTCCTCTTACTGATAGGTATAGAAAGATAAACTATCATAATATTGAATTCAATGTAGATGAAAATACCAACTCTCCAGAACTTCTAGGAATGCATCATTTTTCAAGAACTAAGTTCTCATAACTTATCAAAGGTCGATGCTTTAAGTATGGTGAAACTGTAATGGGACTTTTTTCTTAATCTAAGACTTACCCCAGAAAGATACATGGAAGATATGTTTTGCTTTTATTTTTGTA